CTCAATCACACGTTCCATGTAAAAATTTATACATTAAAAGTGAATTTGCACTTCCGTATTAATGAAAAAAATTTACGATTGTTCACTCTCGTGTAAATTTAATGTGTAAATAAGAATCTTACCACAAGAAAGTTTATACAGTTTCTTCTTGGGCGATGAAGAGAAGTCACAATTGCAATTAATTTAACTTTACACTGTACGTGACAGACGACTGGATGGTTTTTGACTGAACGAAACGGAGTACAAATGATTTCGAAGGTTCTCTTATCTGTGTACACAATGTCAGTGTACTAAGTACCTATCCTTAATGGAGAATGAAATATTGCTACCGCAGCATCTGGAATTAGGAAATCAGCTGGGAAAAAAACTCTTCAGATTGTAAACGATATTTTGCAACACTATGTATAGAACTGATTAAATCACGAGTTAGTGGCAAAGGAATAACAATGTGGTAACTCGTAATACACGTTCATCGAGTTACGTCTTTGTTACATTTTATTTAATGTTTATCACTCTTACTAACAGGAAGAATATCTTTTCAATAGATGGAAATTAATGTGATATGATAATATTCCTTTTAAAAAATTGGCACACTCACGATCAAATCAGGCTTCCTTAGGGAAAATGATTCTATTGGAGAAACTGAAATTAATGTTAAAATTAATTTAGAAAAAAAGAATAATGTGATGTTTAATAATTAAATATTGTAAAATTTAGTATTTAATCGAAGAGTACGATAACAAAGTAAATATTAATTCAAATTTTCCCGCGTAGACAATTACGCGCAAGTGGTGGGGGGTCACAGATCTATATATATGAGACGATATGTTGATATTGCAACAAATATCAACTGATAACTCAAAATTTATTGATTACAAAACTGTATTAATTGTTTAGGTATGAAATCATTATAAACTCAAGATTCTGCGTAGATAGAATACTTAATACATTGAATTAAATGATAATTCTACTTTTATAAACATGTATCTTAAATTTACATTGATAATTTATGGTTTATGCTTATTCTGGGAACAGCTTTCTGTGAGGCTACTGAGAATTATACATAATACTCTTACTCTGCATTGTACTTACAATCCTTACATTTCGTTCTCAAATTTTACTTCATATGCAAGCAGAGACATTTTTTACATGTGGTAAAAATTAATTTAGAAATCTGGTGTGGAATTATTAGAAATAGATACAGCTGTATTGATGAAAAGTGGGTTATCTGCGTTCAGGCGTACTTCATTTTTTACACCTATTCTCATATATCTTTTAGCAATATTTCATACAAAGTTTACTTATAATAGACGTATATAAAAATTAATCAAAACTTTCATTTATTGCTTTAATACCACGAATTACACTTTTTCATCTGCTTGTAGTAAATTAACAATTTCATTTTTATTCGAAGATTCAATTATAAAATATTCGCAGAACAATAGTGTTCAATTACCAAGTCAAATATAATTGACACTAATTTTTGTATACTGACCCTGAGGAATAACTACAATTTTCACTGAATATATGTTGGTTGCAGCTTGTAAGGCGTCATAAAAAATAGCAAACTTCTCATACTTAATAAGATTTATATAGTTTCAAGAAAAGTGAATGATCTTTACTAAAAATCCTCTTCAGCTTTTAATATTTAAAATGCAATAAAGATAAATAAATTTTTATATACTATTTTAATGATTCCCTAAGAAAGCCTACCATGCTCGATACTGTACGTAATAGTTGAATGATGGAAATGGAAAATGAAGTTTCAAGTCAATAATCTGGTGTACTTCATACACCACTAATAAAACTGCACTTGCCGACGCTTTGAGCAATGTAATTAACGCGTTCCGAATAAGATTATCACGTTTCAACGTGATAAAATACAATACACATAGACTCTCGAACACGTGATAAATCTCCTTCACGGGAAACATTAATTGCTCATTGACATCGTTTAACAACGTATACATTTACACATTTTTCTCTCTTAGCTTCAATAAAAAATATGACAATTTTTATTTCTCAGAAATATTTCGGTAAAATTTAAAAGAATTTATTCGACATCTTTTCTAAGTCTTCTGATGATTTAAGGACGAATTAATTAATTTAAAAAATTTGCAATTAAATGTTTGAAATTATTGTATTTCATATTATTTCAAAATGTTGATATTTTTATGAAGTGAATTTCCTTCAACAATAATATAATCATTAATGAATTACCATTTAATCACGTCGCAATTATGAATAATTAATTAACTGAACTTCAAGATAAAAGTTTGTAAAAGTATTCGAATGCTGATGGCGATCCGAGTATATTTACGAGGCAAAAATAAATTTGCTTCGAAACCACAACCAGTTGATACCACAAGTAATTTAAACCATTGGTAAAAAATATTCTTAGCGGTCGTGTTAATTAATCCATGTGATATTCGTTTACTATCGGTGATACATAGTAATAAACACTTTAGCTGCTTTAAATAAAACTTTTAAGACGCTGTTACTCAGGTGACGATAGATAGTTTTCAGATCACAATATTTGCCATTGAAATCTTTTTTGTTCAGACTAATTTTAATCAGCTTTCAGTGTACAAGATGTCTCGAACTGAAATGGTCCAATTTTCAAAATTTATATACACCTTAGCCAAATATTCCTTTGTTAAACGTATAAACATAGACATGTATATTTTGAAGAGAAAAGATACTGTTCGATTCAGTTTGAATAAAAAAATAATCCATGTATAATATCAAGCTTAAAAGTGTTTCGTCATCAAAGTGTTAATAATATACGAATTTAAGTCGAGTTAAGAAAAATTAAATGAATTTGATCTTTTTAGCCCTCTGACGTCAAGCCTCAGATGGCGAACAATCGCTAATTGAATTGTTAAAATAACAAATATATCATAACGAAAATAAGATAATTATAAAATTATTTCTCTCGAAATAAGAATATCATTTTTATTTGATTATAAATAAGACATTGTCTACCTATGTTATCGACGTCAAAGTATATGGTGTTTCGCGAGACATAGTACGATAAGAATAATAAATAATAAAAAGATAATGGAGAAATATTTGAAATAAGGTTAACGACAGTTAATTTTCTCAATACCATACAATAATACATGCTTTTATATTGTTTGTACTAATATTGTGAATTCGGACAATTTTAGTGCACATAATTTATTCAGCTCTTATCAAAGACAGATTTAATTATTATTTAAATTCATTAAAATCAAAATTTGAACATATTTATTTGTATTTATTCAAATGAAATTGCAATATTATGTACTTTTGAATTTTATAAGAAAATTAAAATTAATGTGATAATAGCATAGAGAAACTAGAGTAATATTAGTGATAACAATAATAAGGACAGAGTCAATAGCGTAGGTGATAAAAAATTATCATTTTAAACAATTTTAGTCTTCATTAAATACACTAATCATTATTACTTGTAAAACAAAGTTACATTGAAACAAAAGGTTCAATTCATATATCGAAATTCATGTATCATATATTATTTTGAAATAATATAAACGTGATGAAATTAGTGTGTATCAATGATGATATCATGAGTGATAATTCAGTTTACTTTTAAACTGAAGAAATACTAATGATCTTTATGAATGCGAATTGTAATGACAAAAAGCTTAACATTTTATATTAATTTAGCTTAAAAAACAATTTTGAATCACTAATCTCTAATTAAAAATACACTCTTCAAACTCCTAAAAAAATGTCCTCAACATTTTTAAATTAAATTTCAAATCTCATGCAAAAATATCAAATTGCCTAAGATGTATAGCACTTGTCAATCTGAACCCACCTTCGATGAAAATGAACGATACAAACTATTTTCTCCTCATCAGCCCTTGAAGCCAGCAAAGAAAACAAGGTAGACCGTTCAAAATCCCCTGGAAACGATGGACAGGAATTCGTTATCAAGCAACATGCCAGTATCGATCTTTTCCTTCAACCTTAATCGATTCAGTTCTTGATCTAAATTCCCGAACTCGCAGCACACCCGTCAGAAATTGTCTTCCCATCAATTCTACACCGTAGTAACGCTCTGACATTGGCACGATTCTTGTCAACCTTTGTCAACCTTGTTGACGAACGGATGCATATCCTCAGGATCGTTCATTCACTGTCGCGCACCAGGTGACGATACTTTTCACTGATCGATCGAAATAAATTCGGCGAAACGAACAGGAAATCACGATCGGAATTGAACGTCGATGTCCACTCGCGGCGCGGGTAGCCGACGGAAATCAGCTTTGAATTGTGGTTGAACGAGAGTGTTGAGATATCGGTAATCTCTGCTGTCTTTGGTTCGAGCTTTCTTTACTCCTCGATCCTCCTCCAGTTTCTTGCCGATAAATCGTGCCGAGGAAAAGAACTCGTGCAATGATACCGCGTCATTTTCACCCGTGACGTTCGCCGATCCTCATCTTGGATCACTTTCCTGTCCGAATGATTTTGAGAAGAAGAAGGAGGAAAAAGAAAAGGTAACGGAGACGCAGATTCGATGGACGTCGACCTGCGATTTCATGAATTGTTTGTTACGGTTTCTGGGTAGGATTTTGAAACATCGAGGCCGATAACCGTCATATTGATAGTGAAACATCGACAGCTGTGGATGCGCGTATGCATCTTCAAAGTCGAGTGCAACTTATCGGCTCACGGTGTACGCGTACATACGCTCGCTGGCTAGTCATTGTTCGCACTGTAAGTAATAGCTTTTTTTATTGCAACAATTGGGTCTGCTGCTCTAGATTTATTATTATACACTAATCTGTAGCAACTCACCCTCGAGAGCTTCGAAGACTACAAGAATTTGGTCGTGGAACTTTGGATTGGAAAAATTCTACTCCTTCACATATTTTAAATCCTAATAAAGTAGATACTTGCTTTTTGAAATTACCTGAAAAGGATCAAATCGTAATTGAAAAGTTGCAGGAGTGCAGAAAGGGTTGAAAATAAAGTAAGGTATCTTAAAGTAGAAAATTAACCCTTTCGAGCCGAGTATCTTTTATCGGAATTTTATTCTTCTTTTTTTAAGTGCCTAAGTAAAAATTATCTTGCACATTGCTATGTTGTTTATTGTCGATAGTTTCCAATCAAAAATAGTAACATATAACTTGTGGCCTGTCAGGATCGAAAGAGTTAAATGATCTTCTGGATTATTGAATATACTTGCAAAGTAGAATTATTTAATTTTGGAACACCTTGTATATTATTAATTGTTTTTCAAACTCTGCAAACTTTATCCAATGATTAGCTTTTCGATAATTATAACTTGTTCAAAGCTTAACTAAGTACATTATGTGCTTTGAAAATTCTTTTTCTACGAATTGAACAATAGTTCTCCGCTTGAAATTTTCCCCTGGATAGCCGTTTTATCTTTCGAGATCGGTTTCATGCGGTTAGGTGTCATTGGAGAAATATTCTTTCCCTCTCAAAACACCTCATGGTTGTTTTTAGATAAAAGAATTCAATTCTACTTATTTTACGTTTATCGGATCTCAAATCAGCAAACTTATGTTCCGTTTTTTCCACACTAAATGCTCAAACAGTACTTATTATTAATTTGCACCATTATAATTGTACTCTTTACTGGAAATACTTACAAAATAAAAAAAAGTTAGTATCATTACTTTTGTGACAGACCGCAAGTTCCTTGAATCATAGAATTCCATTTAACACAATAACTGTCATAATAGAAATATCCAATGATCCACACTGTAATATTAATTATTAGGAATTCTAAGAATTTATTATTATTATTTTTTATTAATCGATAATCCGAGATTATTATTTTTCAATAATGGACCTACTATTACAATTTTTACAATATTTAAAATATTATCCTTTTCCTATCGTTTAAATTTGGTTTTCAAGTTCACATGCACCAGTATTGATTATTATTGGCGTCACTGCATTATCAGTGTGTAATTATCGTATGATACAACACGATAAGTTATTTCGATTGGACGACACTGCATGGAACATGTTAGCACAAAATGATATGTTATATTAAATTATATAGTCTAATATCTTTCAGAAAGGACAGCATTTTTTTACACAATTTTTCTAAAAAACTTGTCTTTTTTCTACAATTTGGAATTATTTAATTGAAAGTCAATTGAAATCACCTGACAGGCACATTAAGATCAATCTAGTACGTGGAAAATTGTACTGAGTTGTTCCTTCTCACGTGGTGATTTTCCATGAAAGGAAAAGATTACACATATACAATTATGCTTACACGTGACTCGGAATTGCTGCGATTACAGTTGGCAATCAAATACGAGTTTGTTCGTTTCATTTTATTTTCGAATTTTATATTGATTCATTAGGTAACGAAACAACGAACAGTTTACATGCATTTACATAAATTAAAATAAAGAATGGACAAAAGTAACAATGAAAGCAAGAACGAAAAGCACTTTTTTTATTAACACGTTGACAGTTGTATATTTTATAAAATTAGCAATTCTTGTAATATTATCATAATATTTAAATCATCAAATACTTAAATGTCATGCAGACTCCAATGCAGCAGAATCCTCAGATACGAAAAAAATTGTTTTCTACATAGCTATTTATATTCCTCCTTAAAATTTCATCTATTTTTGTAGCTTCCATCAGTTACCTGACATTTTGGAGACTAATTAGAAACAAGAAACAAGAAACAAGAAAGGCTATTAAACGAACAAATTGTTGGCTGTGTACGAATATACACATTTATTAACCGACTTCGAAAAAGGAGGAAGTTATTCAATTCGATCAGTATATATATATTTTTTTTTTTTTTTAATTAATCATCGTGTAATTTTCGTTGACAGAAATAACAAGTTTTTAATTGAAACAACAATTTTCTGACAAGTATGAAAAATATTTATTTAAAATAATATTGCAATTCATTAATCACTCATTTCGTTTTTCCATACCTAACGCATTCATATCTTTTCATATATTTACATGTTACACACGTATACTGTTTTTACTAGTGCAAAAAATTACTTCATAGTATACAGTGATCTATTGGAAAATCGAACGTTAAGGTCTATTCTATTCTAATTAATGTAATAGCAATTTTAATATTGTCCCAATATTGAATATCCCGGAAGAGGTAGAACGTAACACGTATTTTTCCATGGACAGGCAGAACAAAGCGAAGCTAACGAGGACCGAATCGGTCGGACGTAGAATGACAGTAGTTCGCCAGTCATAATCGAACCGAGAAGTGAGGGAAATCGCGGAGCCGGTCTACCGCGAGTACGTATCGAATGATTAAGCAGTGAATGAAGAGGCGGTGATCAATCTATACCGCGCGATATGTGATAATCAGCCACGATCGCGAGATTCTGGCCTTTCAACCGCGACACTTAACGAATTCTTAAACAGAGTATTCGTTGAACTCGTTCATATGCAGGTGAACAGTGTGAATAAAAGATAATGAATTCAGGTGAAATTAAAAAAAAAGCACCCGATGGTGGATGGGGATGGTTCGTTTGCCTTGGTAGCAGCTTGATCACGGCAAGTTTCTTTCTTTCATGGATTTTTCTTTTTATACGATTGTAATATCTTGCACTTTCCGGTTTTCGATAACTCCTTTCACGATTCCGGTTAGCTGTTTTGCGTCCTAATATTTGGACGCAATATTGCTGTCATATAAATATTTGCTGTGCTCGTATTTATAAAAAAATGTATTGACATTATAGGGTAGTACTTGAAGGTTTATTTTATTTTATAGATACATATGAGTATATTGAAAATGTACTTGTTTAAAAATAAATATTTTAAATAATATTTTCAACTTTTGAATTTCCACTGAATTTCAAATATTATTTTCTATGTCTATAAATTAATTTGTACAATTTTTTAAATATAAAATACAAGATCACTAAATACATCTAACCCTTTGCTCTAATTTAATAATTTAAAAATTCCTTAAATATTTTATTGCAAATTTTCAGTATTGATTTATAATTGCCCAATATGAAATCCTCGCATTTTTATTATGCATTACACTATAATCAATCTTTTATAAATAATCTTTCAAGATTGTCTTAACATGATCAGTTAGCACTTTGTTTTATACTTTTCTTAGAAGATTGTTAAAATTACAAAATTTGTAGAACTGAATCATTTGTTAATTTTATAATACATTTTTCTTTCCGTGAATTCTTTTTTTCAGCTCTCTTTAAGATCGCTGGATCCTTCTTTCGGTCTTCTTTTCCACGATCCTTTGGAAGAACTTGAAATAGACTCGACAGGAACATCATTAATAATGAGCATTCTCGATGCTATCGTTAATTTCTCAGGTATTGTAGTTTGATGCTTGAAATTGTTTTATTGAAACAAAATCACTAATATATGTGTTTCATATTCCTTTTTAATTTAGGCCTTTTGATAGGACCATTGTTGAAGAAATATTCTTACAGAAAGGTGGCCTTTTTTGGATCTCTGTTAAGTTCCACTGGACTGATACTTACGTCAAATGCTAACAGTATGATTCATATCATATGCACTTACAGTGTTATAGGAGGTATGTATTTCAAAGAAATTCTTATAATTTTACGTTTCAGTTGAAACAGTTTGTTACCAATTAATACCTTTATATGATTTTATATATATAATAGGTTTAGGAACTGGATTAGCAATCGCGTCAGCTTTCGTTGCATTAAATACATTTTTTGATAAAAAGAGGGGACAAGCCGTTGGTTTTTCTATGGCAGGTACAACTCTGGCCATGATGTTAATACCACAGGTATGTAGCACATAACTTTCCATTACTTTATAGCTTTGCATTACTTTATGAAGCTAAAATACGTATGCAGAAAATAAATATATTAATTGAATCAATAAATTAAGAACATCTACTAAATCAATTTTTTTCTGTTATATAGATGATACACGTCCTTTTGGCTTCTTATGGATTTCGTGGAGCAATGTTGATCGTTGGAGGATGGACATTACATGCCGCTGTTGGTGCTTGTTTGCTTCGTCCCCTTGAAATCAGAGATACCAAAGAGATTAAAAAGGTGATAAACGAGCTAATTCCAAATTAAACATACAGATTCTAAAAAAGTCGTTATACAATTGGCTACAATTTATTTAGCACTATATAATTTAGAGGAAAGGATTTATTTTTATCGCATTTTATGATCTATTAGCGTAGTTGGTATTACTGATTCTTTACTATCTTAATTATACTTAAAATTTTCCTTCGTTATTTAATATTCTTAAAAAATGATTGCTGAAATACTAAATTTCAGATGTTACTCCTCTAAAATATAAAAAAAAACACTAAAATTAATAAATTTCAATTTACTTGTCCAGGAAATAGATCCCCCGGAAAGTGAAACATTATTAAAGAACAATGGAGACGTTACAGCGAAAAAAGTCAAAAATGGTGCAGAAGTTCCAAGATACGACGTTGTAAAGAATGAAACAAACAAGGAGAGGGATGATAAAGGGAATTATTTTAAAAAGATAAAGGAGAACTTTGACTTGGATTTACTTAAAGACGGTGTTTATCTCAATGTTGTTATTGGTTTGAGTTTGTATTATGTAGCTGAATCAAATTTCAAATTGATGACTCCATTTTTTCTAGCCAGCATAGGTAAGTAGCATTTAAAAAGATAAAAGTTAAAAATTGTACCGTAGCAAGGGATGTTATTAAAAAATACAAAAATTCTTGTGATAACATATCGAATAACTTTCAGTTCTTTGTCAAAGTCTTTTTCTTATTTTTTAAACAATTGATTAGACAACTCTTCTGTTACAATAAATCATCTAAAAGTACTATACTTATATGAAGTAGAACAACTTTTGTTTATAAAGTTTTTCAATACCTCTAATCGTTTCGAAGGTAAAAGAGAAATGAAAAGAGTTGAAAATTTTAAGGGCAGTTTTTCATTTCCTTAGATTCTAAATAGACAGTTAAAAAATTACCTTATAATCAGAAGGATGTTTATTTACTTGCAAATTTCATAATTTCATTTAATTTCTGAGTTCGAGTTCATCCCTTATAAGAATTTGTATTTAATTGTTTAGCATCCTAGCTACGGCACACAGTGGAACGAAACCCGGGAAAACGCGATAAATGATCAAAGAATCGATCAGAAAGTTTCCATTGCAGGAACTATACAGGTTTCTTCAAAAATGATTTGCATCGTCAGAGCTGCAAATGCTTAATAACAAGAGAAATCTAAAAGTACTAAGAAAACTGAAAATTAATATTCTTTATTAAAAATGCTAAGAATACTATGACTATTAAAAATATTAAAAATACTGAAAACGTTAAAAGGCATCATCAGCAAATGGTGACAACCAGTAAGAGGTCACTCACACTTGATCCTACTTCGCCACAAGAAAAGCTAGTGTAAATAATTTTTTATTATTATAATCTGTACAAACGTGTTTATTATAAGAACTTTCACGTATCTACACGTGCTCTTTTGCGTGAGTGATATTATCTCGAGAACACGTGAACAGGATTCGCAATGCGGCTTAAACTTCGAGATCGAACACGCAATCTATAATCACTTAAAGATCAAAGAACAACACTTTAGATTGCAAACTGGCATAAGACTTTTAAATTTCTTTTTTTATCTAGAATATGTAATTTTTATGGTATTTTTCTTTTTTATATACTTTGTATAATTCACAATACTCTTAATCAGATGTTAATTAAAATTACTGTAATCAATGGTGAGATCGATTTTTCGATTGTTCATCGCGTTTTTTTCGGGTTTCGTTCCACTGTGAGACATTTTTTAGGATTTCAGTAGACACCTCGAAGGAACATGATGGTCGACAGGAATGACCAATGGAGAAATAGCTTCCTGCTTATCGATAACTGCATTCACTGATATTCTTGCCAGACTTCTGCTACCGACAATTTTCGAGAAATTAGGTTTCAAGAACAGGACAGTGTTCTGGGTGTTTTGTGTTCTCGTTGGAATCGGACGATCTAGTACGTACATACTTCTTCATTTTAAAATTCTACTATTAATATTAAAAACAAATGTTATGCAAAGAAAAGTGATTCGAGGCTTCGTTACAAAATTTCTCCAATTTCTTTAATGCAAAACATTTTGAAACTATTTAAGTAATTTTTTGCCATTTTAATTTATGTTTCAGTTATGGCAGAGCAATCCAAAGGAATAACCTTGATAATAATGTTTGTGGTAATAGGATTCTTACGAGGAGCCACTTTGGTAAATTTAAATCTCAGCGTCTCCGAATGTTGTTCCTTGAAGAAGTTACCTAGTGCTTTTGGAATGTTTATGGTGTTAAAAGGTTTATTCGTCGTAATAATGAGTCCTATAATTGGTACGTCTAATAGCTGAATATAACAAAAGTTCAAGGATAAGAATGTTAACACTTGAACAGCGGAATCCAGATCGATATAGATCCAAACTTACACAAAATAAATCTATAATTTTTTAATGAAAATTTCATATACTGAAAGGAATAGTTTTTAAAGGAATAGTGTAAAATTTAGAAAATGAAAATAATATGAAATACAAAATTTAAATTATTGTAAAATCCGAGCTGTCTCCATGATTCGCGGTTCGAGGGTTACATAATGTAACTAAATCTATATTTGCCAAAATGATAGATAAAATAGACTATGTATTTTGAGATTTTCTAATATATGTTTGCTTTTATTTCGCAGGTTACATTAGAGACGTAAGCGATAGTTATACAGTTTGTATACACGTTATGACGTTAATAATAATGATTACATTTGTCACGTGGAGTTTCGAATTTACGTATAGAGCTCTGAAAACCAGAAGATCGAATTTACGCGAAAGAGCACAAGGCGAGGCGATAGAAGCTCATTAATCTTCATCAAATTCTGTACAAAAAATAGACAGAAAATGTTTTTTAAAATTGAGTGAGTAAATAAACAATCATCAATTCATAATTGATGATGTACTGATGTAAACTACTTACATTAACATTTTTATTAAAATGTAAGTTTCTTTCGTGTAATTTTTTATGCATAAGAGCAACAAATATTTTGAGTGCTAAGCTTCATATTGATGTGCCATAAGTGGATTTTGCGATACTTTTATGTCATCATATCATATCAGATAATCATATACCATGGAAGATAAAATTGGTTTTGTTAAGTGATTTAACATAAGGAAAAAATAAAAATTATGAATACCATTAATACTATTAACATGTATCCATTATTTTACAGCAAGTACTTTCGTTATTTTATTTAACATAATTGATTAATTATCGATATATTTCGTTTAGTCTCATTACTACAGGTATAGTACTCATTACTACTATATTTACCGGTATTATACAGTAAACTGGCCCGAAATAAGTGCATTAAAATTAATGTGGCTTTGGCCTCGATACGAGACAGTTGCATCTTGAGGTCAATAAAAATTGCGCAAACTTTTAAACCTGTGAGTCGATATTTTCTCTTTTGTCAAGACTGACAAATTTCGAGTTTTGTGAAAATAGGTGAATTTATTTTAAAGCCTTCTTTTTCACCCTTTTCCTCTGTACACCATTTCGATTTACATGTATTGCAATAATTGCACTTCAAAATAATAAAATAAAACATTCTATTCTAATCGCTTCTGATTGAAAAAATGGAAATAATGTTTCTAAGATTGAAAATCTTGATAAGGAGGCTATAGCATTTTGACTTTCTGTCACTTTTGTACAGGCCAAACGATAAGAATTATCTTCCGGTCTGACCGGAAATGGCCGAAAAAGGGTTGGCTCTAGAGCGAATCTCGCTCTAATACACTTTAGCTTGTTAGTTTTGAAGATAAGCGTAGAAAATTCAAGTTTCTAGAAGGCTAAACGCGAGTGTTTGAACGCTTCTGCGAGCCGCTATAAGTGAAACAGCCACGAGCCGAAGACCAGACATACTTGGACTGGAGCCACGAAGCCGGTTTTTATCGGTCGACTTCCCTTCAATCCAGCCAGTCACGAATAATCCACAGCTCCGATCGGAGCACACATGTTGCTCGTTTTTAAAGCGTAAAAAACACACGTGAAACGTACGAAAATGTGTTCGATAAGAAAACACAGTGTTTTCAAGTGACTGGAACCAAAAGTGTGTCGCACGTGATATCTTTTAAATCGTCTAATTAACGAAATTTATTAATAAAAATTAGGTGAAATATAATAATGATGACTTGAAACGATGAAACGTTTGTTCAAAGGAAAATTCGATAAATTTTCATAAAAATTTTTAATTTTTATTATTAGTCTCGTTTCGACGATGATAATATTTAACAAGTTTCGTTTAGAAAGATAAACAGCGAGTAAATTTTATCTTGTCGCGTAAATTGGGTTTATTAATAGCGATATTTTATTCGCACGTGAGAGTAAAACGTTTTATATTTCAACGACTGAAATGAATCGTGGTGACACTTTTCTTTTAATCAATTTTAATCGGGCTCGCATTCCTTCATGACTCTGTTTATTTCACTCACTGCGTCATTCACTGTGTTCAATTATTATTTTTCATCAGACCCTGATAATACAATTTTGATAAGAATAATGTATTTATAAATTTAGAATTCTTTTTTATGTTTACTCAACGTTGTATGTAGTAACTTATCAGTTTAAAATAAATGTTGTCAATCACAGGAATATTATCGATACCTTTGATTGAACTATGTCATTCTTGTTTATTTCATTACTGCATTTATATAAAATTAAATTCTACAATAAATTTAGAAGTAACTTAGTATTTGATTATATTTTAATCTTTACAATATTTATAATACTAAATTTATTATTCTTACATTTTATTATTACGTTCTACATTCCTTTAATTTTCTTTTTTTATACTTAAACTACATTATTTTATTTTATTTTCGTGTTTAAGAAAATTAAGAAAAATTAATGGATAGTTGAAGACTGAACTAATTGAAAATGACAAGAAGAAAACATAGAGAAGATAAATCAGAATGAGTTATGGGAAAATATACCTAATTTTCTTAACAACTGGTAAGTGAAAGAATTTTTTTGTTTTGCGAAGAATTTCATTGTTCACCGATAAGTTTATCGTTTCGATTGGTTACAAGGTTATCAATATTGGAATATGTAAATTTATGCATAGGTAGTCATCGTAATGCTAAAGTAACTTTGACTTATATAAGACTACTGACGTTTGTCGCATAAATATTCAATTATTAAATTAAAATTATAATATTTTATATAGTATGTAATTAGAATTGATATTATTTGCGATAGCTATTAAATTTAGAGCATAATAATTAAAGTTATACTTTTGTTATTATTGAAGTAAATAAATTATTATCAGACAAATTAAAATACTTGCATTTTATATCTAACATATAGAATATTTAAAATAAATTGATTATACAACATTGTTTATGTGTTATTCAAATGGCTGAATAAATTTTCATGACAGCAGACTTCATCTTTCTAACGATAAGTCTATTAAAAAATTATTAATGACATTTAAAATGGCAGTAAAAATAATCAAATTTATAAGTGTAATGGAAACATTTACTTTACAAACCTATAATCTGTTTTACGTATTTGATGTCTCTTCATGAATTATAAGGTCGTGAAAGAATAATGATTACATCAAGAATAGCCAATTGAATACTAACAATAAGTGATCATTTACACTGTGTCGGACGCTTACTTACTTGAATAGACCTTCTCTGGGGTCATTAAACCATTATTAAACGATCGGCTAAAATAGAGTACATACACAGAAGTGAATCTTATTCGTAGCAATTTGGAGCACGTGCAGCATGGTTAATTTAATACGTTGTCTGACCTGATAATCATTTGATAATCGACACCATGAACCAAATTCAATCAAGCAATTACAAAAAAAAAAAGGATTTCGGATATCAGTAATATTATATTCATAACAGGAAGTAATACATTGAATAATTAAACTGAAATACGTACAAATGTAATTGATGTAAATAATGTACATTTACTAATATCAATACTATGTTCGTTTTAGTGTAAAATTGTACTTTTCTATTTGTATAAATTACGAATGTTTTGGCACTAAAACATGGTTTATTTAATATTATTTCATAATAATTAAAATTGTTACAAATATTAAGATAATATTATTTACTTATTGGAAGAACGTTATTTTATAAAGAGTGAGGTGTGCTTTGTAAATGAACATTGTTACTTTTATCTTATCAGGTAGTTCCTTACATCTATCTAATTTTAAAAAATAAACCTATTTATCATTGTATTGATAATTTGATTCAAAAATTTTCTTCAGTTTTCATTGATGGAAGCCAATAATGTAATATTAGAAAACACATGTTTTGCAACTTCATTATTGTTTAGTTACAAATTTCGCGTAGATTAGATTTCCATTACAATACCAAAATTAAAAACAAGAAATTAGATTTCTACTTTATCCACCGAATATAGCAAATAATTTCAAAAGAAGCGGGTACAACAGTTTTAAGCATCTGGATCAAATGGTGTGTACTTCAAAAACTTTTATCAGTAGCAAGTTATCTATCATTTGCACGTGATTGAAACCAGTGAAGTCAAATTATTCCATTTGTACTTAAAAGAACGATACTATCTATTTACACTTCCCGCAGAGTGACAATTTAAAATTTAAAAGTAAATGTGCAAATAAGAGCTAATCAAAGAGGGTTTGTAAAATAAACGTTCATTGTTTAAACACAGTCTTAAAAAAAAAACAATAGGTAACTAATATTAATAGGAAAATAATCAATCATTTTAGCGAAGGTAAGATTTTCCTATCCTTTTTGCAGCTTGATATTTCATTATTAATTATTAAAAATAATTAAAAAAATTAGGAATAATCTTTCTTCCTGAAGATTATTCTTCCAATACATGAAACTCTCTCATTTAAAAATATCCTTGTATATGTTTTGTATATTCGGGTCTCGATTGACCCAGGCTCCGCTTTTCAAGGGTTAATAATGTATCCACTGCTTAGAAAAGGTGAAATGATTCGGTAGCTACAGTACTGTAAACAATTCGTTGCAGATATCTGCGTGGGTGTACGTGTCTAACACTAATATATATCCACGCTGTCTCGTATCTTATCATTTGCCCAATCCCGGCTTCTGCTTAGTCGACACATTAAGTTTGCAGTCTGCTATCGGCTCCAAGACGAGTCGAAGGAGAAAAAGAAGTAGCACGGTGCCCTTTTGTCGGTCGCCAAGTGAATCCTGAGGATCAATATAATGTTACCTAGTAAAGCGGACAGAGGTTGGGCATGGATGATCGTCGTTGCTGTGACAATCATTAACGTGAGTTTCATACACCATCATAGATAATAATGTTTCGTAACTGAGTGCCATTTGCGGGCTATCCATTTATCTGCTCAGATGTGATAGTTCGAGACACATGTGTCCTTCTCTTTATTTTCAGAAAGAAAGTACATCTATCATTCATAAATAATAAATAATGCTTTTGATTCGAATAATTATTAAATAAAAAGAAATTATGTGAGAATAATAAATAAATTTTTATGCAGAGATTGTTTGAATCGAATATTATTTATTGTTTGAAAATAACTTCGTTTTACATGCAATTTTTATTCAAAGTTTAATCTAATAATTTCCAACTCTGTGAGACTATAATCTCCAACTTCTATAAGACTATAGAATTTGTTATTTCGTTTCGCTTCGTTATAACATCTTCTGTAAATTTACTTTAACTTGAATTATTTGTCAGGTGAACACTCTTCTATTTTAATTTTCTAAATTTTAAACTACCTCTTTAAGTATTTTTTGTCCATTTAATTATGTTTTGAAGGTCTGAATGACGATTACCCCTGCTCCAGGTGAATCACGACCTACACATACTCATTGAAAAAAAAATCTGTTCCAGTTGGCGATACTTCCGATCCAGCAATGCTTCGGTCTCATCTTCAGTGAACGCTTCTATTCCCTCGGTATCACCGCCACACAAACATCCGTAATCTTTCATTTAAATGGAACGATTACATGTAGCCTGGGCCTGATAAGTGGTCCTATGATGAAGAAATTTTCGTTTCGGAAAGTAGCATTATTCGGGGGCTTAACTGTTGCCGTTGGTATCGGTATAACTGCGTTTGCTGTCTCTGTTCCTGCCATTATCATCTCTTATTGTATTATCGTCGGTGAGTAATTCGTATTTTGTCTCTCTGTCTTTTCTTCTTTTCTCTTTATGAAAGAAGAAAAATTTTATTATCATGACGTAATTGGATTTATATGTTACTCGATGTTATTTAGAGTCAAACTTCCATGAAGTAAAATAGTTGAATAGCTTGACCCAGGAATTTATATTAAATTTTCTTTGATAGTTTGATCATCTTAATAGTAACGAGCAGACAAAAATGATTGTTGATCTTAATAGACAAAACGTTAATACGTTTTAAAAAGTCATCGTAATGAATTTATGGTATAATTAATGACAACAGAGTAAACAAAAGATAAGGAGAATAGTAGAGCAATAAAACTTCAGAAAAGCTTCTAATCATAAGCTTTGAAATAATCGAATAAAAATTAATTAGTGTTCTCACTGAGTTTCAATCCTTTACGATTATAAAATTAAATTATCGAATTTTGTTATTATATTCAATAAGTAAAAATGGTAATAAACCAAAAATCATCTTAATATTTAAAAACTTATGGTAAAAATATTTTCTATATTTTTAAGTTTATTGATATATTATTTGAATTTAAATTATGTCTGTTAACAGTGTTTTAAATGAAAAATTGATCTAATTTAGATAAGACTATTTTTTTAATTTTTATTCATAGTATACTTACGTAGCTTGTTTTATTTTTTAATTTTGAAATACTATATTATTAATGATAACAAATTATGATTTACAGGTGTGGGTCATGGAATCATGTTTCCAGCTACCAGTTTAGCTATGAACACGTATTTTCGAAAGAAACGTAACATGGCTATGGGATTTTCAGTAACGTTAACTGGTCTGGGGCCTATTCTAATGCCTCTTCTAATAGCAAAATTATTAGAACATTACGCAACTTCTGGAACTCTGTTGATCCTTGCTGGAATAGCGACACACTCGTTCATTGGAGCATCGTTATTGAAGCCATTCCATGAGAAAGAAGTGAGTTAAAACTGTATTAAAAGGTAATTATTTTTAAGAGGACACTGAACAATTAACACCACATTTTAGATCAATACTAATCATTAATTACTGTTCAATTAGTTCGTCGAATAATCGTATTTTAGACAAAAGTGAAGGCAAAAGAAATGTTGACTTCCTGAATAATTTCTCAAAACTGTCAAACATAAATTCTGTGTTTGTTGGTGTAATTAATCTATTATTTCAACTAATTAAGAGATAAAAGGATTTTTGGGTATTAATATCAGAGATAAGAAACCAAGCTAATATTAAAGTCATTAACAAGTGACTTTAGTAGGTATTGAAATGTGCGTGGTCAATGTTTTTGAACAGATTATATCTTCTTTGGTTATTGAAACAAAAAATAATCAATTAAATTCGATAGTTAGACTTAAACTTATAATCACGATCACAGAGCCAAATAATTTCGATAAACAACCTTAACCTGTCTTAATATTAAAAAATATATAACTTTAGCTTATTAATTATAAACACTTTTATTGTTGAAGTAGAAAAATGTGTTTGTTGTAGTTCGGTGTCTTCTGAACCCTTTAGCTGCGGAAATCAATTTTTCGCCAAAAGCACCTTAACACTTTTTTATAAGAAATAAAAATACGCTTCGATTAACATGTAGAAAAGTATATATTATAGCTCCATTTAAAAAAGATAGGATAACCTTGAAATCGTTGAAATATCTCCACTTATTTCACCTGGTCCCATTCGAAACCATTTAATTTTCCCTAATGAAGTTTTTCTCTATGCACTAGCATTTTAGAGATATAAGTTGACCCAGTTGTATGCCACACTCTGTGTAGTCTATAACAATGAAACACTCCAAGAATACGATCGCTTCTTCCTCAATAAAATTCATATCTACAGATATTGCACGTGCCACTTGCGTAGCGTGACAGACATGATAAGTATTCCTTAATACATTGTATACGAGGGCTATCACATTAAGAAAACAGACTATGTAACGTATTTTTTATATCACCTGAGAGTGGTTTAAAACATGATTAGGTATCAGTAAATTAAAATTAGAAAACGTCCTCTAAGTTTCATTCATGAATTTTATTATAATTTTTTAATATTTGACAATTAATTTATAAAAAAAACAGAAGTTTATCCGCATTTCGTAGTCGATTTGAATAATTCTCATCCGCAGCTAAGGGGTTGACATTGTAGGCAGAAGGGAATTGTTAACGTTCACCGTCAGATGTGATTTCTAATAGATTAGAAGTATAACAAAGGGCAATGACATCACGGCATCTTCCGCAGAATGCAACGGCAGCAGTGCGGCTAAAGGATCCGAAGATTTGAAACCTGAAACTGAAACAGACAGCAAAAATGGAAATGTTAATTGTCGTTTGTTGAACGAAGATCCAGAAGAGGAAACGCAAAAGTGTAAAGAACGTTCGTTGAAAACTTTAAACAACGATAGTGGGAAAAAAGAAAGGAGGTCGATTCTGTCTAAAATTTCTGAACATTTGGATCTCGATCTTCTGAAAGATAGCCGTTATGTCGCTGTGATATTAGGTAATTTTAAATAAAAAATTGTTTATTTATAAGGTAAATTTAATATATTTAGGGCTACTAATTATTTAAGACGCAGAAGTTATTTGGATTTGTTTCGTTTGAAATAGGTATGGGAATATCTTTAGTTGCGGAAACCAACTTCAACGCCATGATTCCATTTGTCCTTATGGAACTTTCCGGGCTGGATAGGACCTCTGTCGCGACCGTGATGTCAATTCAAGCGATTTCCGATATTACCGGACGACTTTGCGTTCCGCTTTTGGCACAGAAAATCGGCTGGACGTCCAGGAACCTTTACGTAGTATCATTGATAGGATCTACCCTTGGAAGGACCAGTACGTACAGCAACGTAAAATATTCGAAATGAGAAATCGACCCCTTCACGGCAACGAATTTATGATCTGCTGGGTGGGTTGATTTCAGCTTTATGGTAACTTATGTAAATCCAATGATAATGACGATCATTGGATCTACTGAATCGTTTATTGGATAACCTAGTCCATTAGTATCATTTAATCATAATTGTCTTAAGCCTTTAATAGTTTGCAATAATTTATAATAATCTAATACAATAATTACACTTTTCTAACAAAGTATTATTTGTTTATTTTAGTACTATCAACCTGGGGCGATAACTACATCGTGGTAGTAGGAGTTGCTCTAATTATTGGAGTTGCAAAAGGAACGAAAGCTGTCTTCCAAGCTTTGATCATTCCTGATTACGTGCCGCTAGAAAGATTGCCATCTGCATCTGGAATGCAAATGGTTTGCAACGGTATTCTATCTATCGCCGTAGGTCCAATCATAGGTAAGTAAATCTATTTATTTATACACAAGTTGTTATCTGTACTATAAATTCTTATTTACATTTTAGGATTGGTACATGACTCAATGATGAGTTACGTAGGTGCTCTCCACTTCACTTCGGTTTTAAGTCTTTCCTGCGTTATCTTGTGGTACATAGGAGGACTTTGGAGGTTTAATAAGAGCTCAAGGAATCTTAATGGAAAAAATGAAACGGTGCAGGTGCAAACAGAAGATGAGATTAATGTATAAATAATTAATTATAAGATTTGACTGAATGTAAGTAGAATTTTCGTTTAAAATAAGAATGTTGAACTTTCAAAAGAGTATCGATTATATACAACATAAAACCAAATAAGGAATATTTCTTAAGAATTTTGTAATTCTTTTTATTATTCGCAAAGTATTGCATTGTAATATAACATTGCATTAACTATTAGCTATCAATAAGATATAACATATAGGAATTTGTAATATCTTGAAATTTAAACTAAAACAAACAAATCATGAAGGTTAAAAGTTTATGTATCTAAAAATTGTTATTTTTTATTATTTAATAACATAATAACATACTACTTTTCGATGTTTAACCAAGATTCTATTTTCTTTTTTGTTATGAATTATCCTACTTACTATGTATTATAGTATATTCTATTGCAACTATACTTTGATATTGTAAGAATAATTAATAAAATTGTTTATTTAAAATATCTTAGATCGTATTATTCCTTCCACTGACAACTTCCCAAGTATTACGCCCACTTATTAATGAAGATTTGCCACCTTATAATGCTCGTCCAAAGGTTCGAATTCCAGTGTTTATTTCTTTTTTTAGCCCTCCGGCGGCAAAAATGTGAACTAAATCTTCGACGTCGAATCAGCGCCCTCTGGCGGCAAAAAACGGAACTAAATCGTGCAGAAATTTTGGCCCTCTAACGGCAAAAATGTAAACTAAAATTTCGATCTCGGATCAGCGCCCTCTGGTTTTGAAAAAAAGAACTAAAGCATGCAGGAATTTTGGCCCTCTGGCGGCAAAAATGTGAACTAAATTTTTGATGTCGAATCAGCGCCCTCTGGTTTTGAAACAAGGAACTAAATCATGCAGAAATTTTGGCCCTCTGGCGGCAAAAATGTGAACTAAATTTTCGATGTCGAATCAGCGCCATCTGGTTTTGAAAAAAGGAACTAAATCATGCAGAAATTTTGGCCCTCTAGCGGGAAAAATGTGAACTAAAATTTCGATGTCGAATCAGCGCCGTCTGGTTTTGAAAAAAGGAACTAAATCATGCAGAAATTTTGGCCCTCTAGCGGGAAAAATGTGAACTAAAATTTCGATCTCGAATCAGTGCCCTCTGGTGGCGAAAAAAGGAACTAAATCATGCGGAAATTTTGGCCCTCTATCGGCAAAAATGTGAACTAAATTTTCAACGTCGAATCAGCGCCCTCTGCGGTTAATAATGAAAACTAAATTCGGCACGATATTCTGCTCTCTGGTGCAGAGATATCAAGGATGCAAGAATTTAAAGGAAACAGAGATGTAAAGGATGCAAGAATGTAAGGGAGACAGAGATGTAAAGGATGCAAGGATGTTAGGGATACAGTGATATAACGGATGCAGGAATACAAAGAATTCAGGGATGTAACGTTATACAGAGATGTAAGGGATGCAGAGATGTAAGGAATGCATAGATTTAAGGGATGCAGAAATGTAAGGAATGGTGAGGTATAAGGGTTGCAGGGGTATAAGAGATGCGGGGATATAAGAGATACGACGGTGCAGTGATTTAGGGGTAATTTCTAAGTAAAGAAATTAAGTGCATTTAATAAATAACTTCGAACGGAAATTGTGTAAATTAAATAAATAACTCAGAAAGGAAATTGGGTAAATTAAATAATAGCTCTATGCTTTTCTAAAATGATTTATTTACCAAGGTGCATGAAGTGAATACAAGTTTGTCTTACAATTATTTTAACAATGTTTCGCTCTTATACTAGGTTTAATTAATTTATAAAAAATAGACTCAGAGATCTCAAATTCCCAAAATTTAACATAAAATTACAAATCAAATTTGTTGGTTTTCAACGTATTAAATGATTAGCTATAAAAATTCTAATTCATACGTTCCAGAAACATAAAAAATTCTTAGACGTTCTCCAACAAGACAATGATTTAAACATGTTTTCTTACGGAATTCGTGTTTATCAGAAATCGGAAATGATGCACGCATCGCGTTCGTGTGCGTGCTTGATGAACAGCTTTCTTTTCTACTTCTAGGCGAAGATGCAAGAACCAGTATTTGTTCTGTTCACCAGCTACGATGGCAAACTGGTATTTCGCTAACTAGTCATCAGGCAAAACGATGCTCCAATAATTTAATGCTATTCACCTAACGGAATGGAGAGACTATAATACTACTACTTGTACGCTGCCTACACTATTAATGGTGCATTTTTGATAAAGAGAAAGCAACGTAGAACGTGGAATCGTGTAAACGCTATTACTCTTCAATCGCACGGTACTCTCCTGGAACTTGTTCAGAGAACCAGATGTTATATAAACAAGTTGCTGTAAAAATTGTTAGAAATTATTTAGGTGCTTAGCATTAATTGTAATCTTAATTATTTTGTTGTTGCCATTTTTGCCAGGAACTAATGGAAAAATAGTTTTCTTTTTTCTTTTTTGTTCAACATTTTTCCTCAATATCAGTGGATCAATCCTGATTAATTTTGGTGATTAGGGGAAGGATTAAATCGTCTCTTTTTTTTTAAATAAAATTATGAATTCTATTAATAAACTAAGAAATTAAATTTAAATAGAATTACACATTTTCAATTTGCTAATAATAATTCCCAAAGATGAGCGTCCCTTTGGCATCCCTGAGTAGACATACCTCCTTAACGAAAGCGTTGCATCTTTTATATAATAGCATCTAGTTTTTGTGTAGAACGTTTGTGTCACAAAACCAAGAAAATTCAGTGAAAGAGACTCCAGTGACAGTAGTTTCGAGGTTAGTGGAACACGCGGAAAGTTTCGTTGGAAACATTAAACAGCATTTATGGTCATGCTCTTACGGCTTTTTTCTTTGGTAAACAAACAGCGAAAAGACAGCGCAAAAAGGTCTTTATATCTTAACAAGGAATTTAATATATAATTTGCGCGTTGACTTACTTTCGATTAATTCATGTTTTTATTTTATTTAAAACACTTTCTGTGGAATAATTAATTTTTTTTACTATGCAAATTATTTTACAGTTTAATAAAATTTCTCAAAATGGAATTTTGTACCATATTACACATCGCTTGATACGTTGTTTAATTTTCTAAACAAAATAATAAGGCATTTTAGTCTAAAATTGAATAATTCCAAAGACATCTTAGGAAGAGACAGTGAGAACCCAGTGGTCTCTCCTTAGGATATCTTTTGAACCAATCAATTTTCGACTATATACCTCAATAGATTTTTGTATAAAATTAAGGAAAGTTCCTATTAATGTATCGCAAAGTACAAAATTCCATCCTGACAAACAATTTTATAAATTACACAACTTTTGGATCACACTGTATATTCGACGTAATTTTCCACAAGGAATTATCCATTTCACAGGTTGTACTACAATCGTAGCCAGACCTCGTATTTCAGATCACGTAAACAGAACCGTACTGCAAAAACGAGTTGCGAGTAACGTCACACAAGAAACGATATCGGAACAGCAAGTCCAGAATTAGAAACTCGATCAAAAGGACAAACGACGTGCGAACTGTGCTTTCCTTAACATCTAAACTACTACTCATGAATCGAGTTCGATATACACGTATATAAACAATGCAACTGTTTAGAGTACTTAGCTAATAAATTTTAATTTGGGTACTCTATCTTTGAAACTGAGGCAAAGCTTTCCATTCACACCCCGACGATAACAATCAACACGTCGAAGGTCCACACGCAATGTGTTTAACGATTTCATTGATGGCACAATCTCCTGAATAAAAGAGAGATACTATTCAACGACCTATAGAACATACCTCTTACACTTTCATAGGAATACCACATCCACGTGAACATCTCCAGTTAGGATGGTTGAAAGGTCACGACTAGAAACTCAAGGTGCAATCATCTTTATCTTCAGGCCCATCTATGGTTAGGATCAGGGTATCCCAACCTAGAGTTAGGCTCAGGCTAACCCAACCTACACATAGACTTTATAACTTTCAAAACTCGCTACTTACGGAGAGTCTTCAAGAAATTGCAGATTAGGTTTTGAAGAAAATTGAATTTGAAAGTTCTTTGGGTAGATACATATGGTTTTGTAAAGCATGAAAAGGAAATAACTGATCCATTCATATGAAAGGTGGCTGGTATTATGAATTCTGTTCGGTCACGATTCAGTTGGATTGGTAAAAATTGATTCCTCTATCATGAAAGGTGACCGAGCCGCCTTTCTCCTAATTGATCAGCGAAGAGAAGAGCTCGGTTGCGCCAGCAGCACCGAGAGCCCTCGCTACGTCACCGTGGGGCCCCGTGACACACATCAATGGGCCCAAATGTAACGGTACCCTTCGCGATGACCTACTCTCAGCTCTATGAGCTCTCTCTTCACCGTTTCTTCCTCGTTTCTTCTCTTGCTCTCTCTTACTTCTCGGTCAAGCGAACGTCGAACGCGAGCTGACCAAGGGGACTGGCTGTACTTTTACCAGGCGAATCCCTGGCGTCGCGTGCGACGCCGGCTGATTACACCCAGTAATGAAAGCGTCCTCCTCGCGCGCGGAGGTGCTGTCATGTAGCCGCGAACGTACACACCTGTCCTCGTCCTTTCTTACCCTGGCAATACGGCCGTCAGTGAAAACGATACGCGTGTACCGTATAGCAGGCTGATCGACGTACTGTTGGACCTTAGGTCCAAAACTACCAACTAACGTCAAACGCGAGTTATGAATGTAATCGTGCATCTCGTCCTCCAGGTGAGTGATGCTCTGAATCGTGGACAACTTCCATCTGAGTATCTGTAGAGGTTCGATATGAAAAGCTGGTTGAGGATTAGGAAAGCTTGTGGGTTTTAGTTTTTTTTTTTTTTGTGAGCGCTCATATTAGGAAATATATGTGGGCGAATCTAGGATCTCTCTGGATTCTTCTAACAATAAGAAGATAAATGAAAACAGGCTTTACTCTTGCAAGAGGAACGCACGAGCGTCGATTTGCCGATTTTGGTTCAACTTTGTACAGGGCACTTCAAAATTGATAATTTTGCAAAATCATAACGTATTCATTATTTTTAGTAGGTGCATATTATGACTTACAATTTTCGTAGATACACAAAATTATTCGTGAGTTTATGTGATGACATGTTGACATAATCGAATGTAACGTAATCGAATAATTGAAAAGTAAAAGAAAATGATAAAATTTAGTACAACAGCATTACTGCTATACTAATGATATAAAGTAGAAAGCTGAAAACGTGAATTTAAAAATTAACTATTTTTATCGTTCTTAATTTGAGC